TGGAACATGCACGAATAAAGGGCAACTTTTGAGCTTGTGGTCTTCGAGAGGCTGGGTGTCGAAATGGGCCATCCCACCTCAAGTCTTAGCACGTCACGTGTCGACATCACATGCAAAGCTTCACAGGTAAGCCATGGCTGCCATTGTTGGCAGAATAACCATGAGGCCACAAATCAACCATCATGGACATCAGAACTGTGTGATTGTACGGTTTGGCAGGTTTAGCATCAGCATGAATGTGATTTGCAGGGGCAGTACCACAGGTGTTGCCAGTGTCATGTCTAGAACAGCTGGTTTATCATGTATCAAACCACCGACATAATGCAGCCAACATGTGCCAGTGCCGTGATCTCTTCGACTACGTGACTATGATCTTCATGATGTTGTGATTCTGTCATTCATGTCTGGGGATGTTGAGGGATCATGGTCGCACCCGTTGGTTGTTGTGCAAGACAGGTGGGCCCAGCACCCGTCGGTTTCAAGTGTTTTGGACAGTTACAGCGGCTGCCTCAATGCTTCGATACTTTGTTGCCATCACTTCTCGTGCGAATTCGGACTCGTGCACGAATCGTGCTGCAAGGCTGAAGCAAACAGGGAGTGGCCAGACGACTTGCAAAACCTTTCAATCCACTTTCTGTCCTGAGTTGGTTCCTTAAAACAGCATGAAACCACAGCATGGACATCATTGGACTTATCTGTATTCAGGACTTCGGCAAGCGGATCCCAGGCGAAAGCGGACAGCAGCACAGCGACAGCAGCAGCACAACCACCACCACCGCCACTGCCAGTACCAGCAGCAACATGAGCAGCAAACGCTGACTGCTTTTCTGGTACTAAATTCTCTAACACCTGGCAACTAGTAACTCGTACTGACGACGACTACTACTGTTACTCTTGCACTCCGACAACAGTACTCCTACTCGTCTTACTCCTCCTACTATTCCTACTACCTGTACTACGCCTACTACCCTCCTACTACCCCTCCAACAGTACTTCGAGTTGCCGCGGACAAGCACGATGCACTGACGACTGGCACCACCATTTGTTTCCGAGCGGGACTGCTTCAAGAAACGATGCAAAATACCGGCTCCGGTTGGAAGATTGCGCATTCACTCACTCCGTGCCCGTATCTGTTGGATACCATTTTTTGAGAAGGTGCTTCAAGGCCAAGAAACTGTTACATCCTCACAAAGCTGACAATCTTGCGAGATTCGTGCAATTATGCACAATTTCGCTGAGCTGCAGCACGAATGGATGAAGCACTCCAACATGAGACGGGAGTTTGGCAAGACTTGCCGCTGTAAACCGCTGCTTGCGCACGTTCTGTACGTCCGTAGTGGCAGCCGAAGTGGGGCTGCCAATGACTTCGCTGTGTTGCAGCACTTGCCCCCAAGCCTCCGCAAGACCCTACAAACCAAACAGTGCCAAGCAACACGAAGCAATGCGGACAGCTCGCCAATAGGGTCCCAGAAAAAACAGCACCCAGCAGGCCGACAGACAAGATCAGCAAGAATGCTGATCATCTTCGTATCTTAGCAACAGCAAACATACTGAGCACTTGGTACAGAGCTCCAGATCGGGGCATGGTCCAACTGTCGTAGCGAGGGCCAAAGGCAGTGACCATACGGATAAAGTAGTAAGGCGGATCGGCAATCATCCCCTTTCATTCGGATGCCCATCGGTTGATCATCATCAGCAGAAGCATGACATTCACTACCACCATCACTACCATCGTCTCGTTGTCACCACCGCCAGCATGGTCAAGATCGTCATCGCCATGCCCATCAGCAGCAGCATCAGCATGATTGCTGAGAAAGCAGATGCCAAAAAGCAAGAAGGATCACGGTAGGAGAGGAAGTAGCAGACACAAGAAGAAGACAAGACTTGCAGTTTCCTTAAAGATACTGCACATCGCTGAGGTGCGACGCAGCACCCACTGTTACGGCTGTGGCACAACGTTACTGTCCACGGCCCAAACTCAGGGCGGTTCTATCGCAGCGCTTCGGTTCGGGCTGGCTTTGCCATGTGGGATCTGAGGGTTGCCCTTCGGCGGAAAGCAAATATCTACCAAAATTGAAGTCATGTCGTAATGCTCTGGGTGATGCAAGCATGATGTAACATTAGTACTTTTTATTGCAACGAGCATACACGAAGCAGGACACGCCACACTAAGCCTAAGAGGCCCCCCGGGGTGTTCCTTTTACACTGACGTTTTGGGCGATACTCGGACACTCAGACCCATCGCAATCTTCTTGAAAGACTCCCCGATGTGCCAAACAGTCCCAAAGCACTTGCATCTCGGCTGATGCCAAGGAGTTGACCATGCCTCTGTTCCAATGGCTGCGGTCACTCAGCTGTCGAGTAAAGTAGGGAGCATGCTCTCTTTTTCCAGGAGTCCGGGTGGGGATCTTGCAGATTCAGAGCCTGGTGACCGTTGCTTTTCTTGTTGTTTGTGTCGTGGTCGAGCTGCGCATGTTCTGAAGATAAGGGACTTACATGGCTGGTCAGACAGTGTTCTCAAACCCTTGCCCGACCTGACAGAAGAGGATGTACCCACGCAAAGCTTGAAAAGCTAGCTGATACCAACAGCAGTGTTACAAGCGTTTGACAGAGTTAGAAGCTGAAATGAGAGCGTGTATAGATCGGTGCTCCTTTCCAACATGTCGCGAGTCACAGTTAGAAAATGCACTGCAGCAGCGATCTATATGTAGAACTTATGGTCCTAAACCCAAAACCCGTATAAACCCTCCACTTTGGTTGCCGGCTCCAGAGGCTCCCGTTTTCGTTGCCTCTCAAGCAAAGGCGGCCTTGTGCCCGACGGGCGAAATGAACCCGCGCACTCCGTGAATTGGCCAGCAGCGAATGATGAATGTAAGCAGGTTACACTATAACACTACTATACTAGAATACTATCATACTACTAATATACCATAGCATTATACTGGTACATCATACAATACAAGGATCTTGTTCATAATACAGTATGCTACAGTCCACAATGTGCTGATATTGTGTCGATACTTGCCGTTACAGTAAGCTCTCGATGTCAATGACCCGACACTCGTGGCGTAGGAAGGGCCGAGTACGTGCGGCAGCAATAAAACCTGCCCAGACGAAGCACGCTGCTTGGAAAATGTGCCCATTTGCGAGGATACCTGTAGGGTTGTGGGTGCAGCATGCAGCCGACATTTGACGGGAGTTGGCAACCCCACACCCGAGAGGACCGCTGCATGGAGCAATTGAAGCACGAATGTGCAAGTCGGTTACGCAGAAGTGCTACCTATCTTCGCGAAAGACTTACCATGCAAGAGGTGTTGGTCTCAACATCGAAAAACCCAAACCTCGGGCTTTCCACCATGAAAGGCACAGTTGTTTGAATATCGCGAGAGCTAGTCATGTGAGGTCGATGTTCTTCAAGAGACGAAATGTCAGAAGTCATCAGTCTGTTAGTATCACTCTTACGGGCTGGGCAGGCTCAGTGGAGTCGGAAGTACTCAAACTCGGCAGGGCTGCAAGCCTGAAGATTTGACGCCTCTCCCATACGTTCCGATGCCGCTGCTTTTGCGTTGAGCCATGGCGACAGCTCCTTCTGCTTTTGAGCTAGAAGTTCCAAAAGTTGGAGGGGCTGCGGCGTGAGACAAGCCTGCAGAGTTGAGTTCTCAGCTTGCAAGAACTCAAAGCCAGCTCATCGCTGTGACACTGGTCATCCAGTGCAGCTGATCCAGCACCTACTCCTACTTTTCTAGACCCCAAAGCGGCCGCTCCATTCCTAAGGCCCGAAGATGGGCTCACTGGCCCACGCTCACATCAATCATTCCGCGAAGCTCAGCGAATGAAATTTCTTCCGAAAGCTGCAGCCGAAGACCTCCAAATCGCATGCGATGTTGCCAAGCCATTTTGGCTCTAGCTTCGAAGGGCGCTTGCAGCTGCCCTCTCCATCGCGCACACCGAATGCATTCAAGGGGTAGGGGTGGCATTTGTGCGGACCTTGGCCTGCAAGTTGCCGGAGTCTTCCGGCAAGGGCATCAAAGCGCATCTAGTCCTGAACCAACAATCAACGCTCTAGAGTGGGGCAGCCGCACGGCGAGTGTGATCATCATCTCGTGGTCCACTCTAGATGGATGTGAGTCCGCGCTTCAGTTTCAAAGACCTACTGCTTGGATCTATTAAACCGTTGAAGGTGTTAATGGTCAAGCACGTCGGTGTGGTGCACGGGCTGTAACTCCACACCTTGGATAGTGCTGGAACGAGATGTCGGCCAGAACATGTTCACAAGAGACACGTAAGATTGTTTTGGGGAAATTCCGATACATGACAAACTAAACCAAGCAGCCCCGAGTCCATGGAACCCGAACGAAGAAACACATCTCTCAGGAATCTTTTACTCACCTCAAGCACGCCCGCAAACCTACACACACGAACAGCTCTCAGACCACGATGATGCAGCCCGCGCAGCGTCGGCGCGGCCACCAGACGTGGCTTCTTGGGCTTCTGGCTCCGGCCTGGATCTCAGGTGGTAGTGGTGGTCGTAGCAGCATCAGCAGCGTCAGGTGGGGCGGCAGGTTCTTAAGTCCAGGACCGCGTGCACTCCCTGGCCACGCACGACGAACCCTGAAGGATGTCAAGGATCCATGTATCTGCACAGCCCTCTCCGCCACCGCTCCTGGCAACTCCAAGCCACCAAGCTTCCAAACAAACATCCCAATTGCGGCACAGACTGGCGAGGTACTGGTATTGATGCTGAGTTTTTCTGGCCTTCTTCACAACGCCTACACTCTGAGTCTCGGTTGCGGCTAGTTCTTGTTGAATACTCACTGGCTGTGGTTCCACAAGCCCAGGCCCTCCCGATGCAGTATACAATTCTGTGGTGGGCAACTGCAAAGACAAGAACCTGAGCTCAATATTCCCCCAACCCAGGATTTGCACGCAAACCGTAAGCCGGAGACGGCGGTCTCAAAGTTCTCAGAGCGCTCAGGACTCGCGACGACAAAGACAACTGCATGAAGACTGAGCAAGACTTCAGCGCCTGCTTGAACAAGAAAATTGTGGGCAGAGAACCTCTCAAGGAGAAGCTGATAGAGCAGCCACTGGGCTTGCACAGAGTACGACAGTGCTTTACTGCTTCTACCCGAATACCGTTACGGAGGCACATGTCACTCACCGCACTTGAGTTGTCTTTGTCATCTTTGCTGGTACCATGACCAATACCGCAACATGGTTACCTTGGGGATGAAGTGGCACACTCAGCTGGGAACAAAGAACCAAAAGCCTGTAGCACCTCACAAAAGGCACCCCTGCAAGCAGTTTGCCGGTCTGACGGTCAACTTTTGGTCCAGAAGGGGTGCGGCTGTTTTGAGCAAGAGTCCAGGTATCGGCTAGCTCAGCAGCACCAGAAGATGCGCCGGTCAGGAGGCAAGACGCCCCCGCTGCACTTCGTGCCTTGCCACGGTCCTCTCGTATAGCATGATTGGCTGTTTTTGACGTTAACGGCTTCGAGGCTAAGTGCTTCAGCATTGTGAGGCAGAGCTTATAGACAGTGTGCAGGTGGTATGTTGGGGAGATTCAGCGTCCGATTCACGCAGGACGCTAGGTTTCAGATAGCAAGCCAGGCTGATTCCCTGAAGGATCTGCCGTTTTGTATCTTCTGGCCAGCAACAGCAGCAAATACTCGGAGATTGCAAAACAGCTTTCTAGGACTGTTGCCTCTTGAACGAAGCATGTGGGCCTTGCGTTTCCTCGCCGATTGCTCAGGCTCTGACAGGTAACCCGGGCACGGGCAAGACGATGGTAGCTCGGCTGCTGGGCGACATCTTCAAACAGCTGCTTGGACAGAGTTTTCAAGATGCACTCGCCGATGTTCGTGGAGTTCAGTGCGCCTGTAAGGTTTGGTTTACTCGCCACAGGCCGGGATTGGGCTTGGAATGTTCTGGCACCTCTGGCGGCCACTACCGGACCGTGCCAGGTGCGGTCAAGGAGTTCCAGCGTGGGGACTTGGTGTCGGATGATAGAGGGAGAACTACGCACACCATCATCAAGGACAGGCCTCTTGGCGAAGTTGGTCCTGAGATTGTAGGTTTAGTCAGGGCGCGTCGCCTGCATCTCTTTTCCTCGTGCAGCCCTTCCACCGGATTTGTTATGTGAAGATTCGGGAATCCCATACTGTGCCAAGCCTGCGCACACGGTGGGAACATCATGCCATCATGCGGCCGAGACGCATGAGAAGCCTCGTGGTCCGTGGTCACAACATATTATTGATGCAGAACCCAAGCGCTTCCAAGATGTAAAAGGAAGCCGATGCTTAGACGAACTCGTGTCTTTGGGAACCCTTTCCATTCGGCATCAACTAGCCCACAGCAGCTCACCCAAGGATCGCCGAAGCGGAAGGTGGCATTTGTTTTATCGACGAGGCGGAGAGGCTCGTGAACAACCCTAACCCTAGCGGGAGAGACGCGTTGGAGGAAATCATGGCCCTGCTTGGCGAAGCGAAGAATGTCATGGTGATTTTTGCTGGTTACAGCGAGGGCATGAGGGAGTTGTATCGTATCAACGAGGGGCTGGAGAGGAGGATCCACATGGAGATTCATCTAGACGACTACAAGCCCGAAGAGCTGGCGAGAATCTTCATCGACAAAGCAAGCAGCTTCTTCATCATTCCCGACACAGCAGAAAAGGATCTCACTGACATGTTCAATAGGAAATTTATTCGGCATATAATTCGGTTCTACAATGCTGGCTTGATTGATCACCTTCTCAATGATGTGGCCTCAGAGATTGAAAGGAAGGAAAGGGCAGACTCCAAAGCGGCCACTAAGCCGCTGGAGACGGAGGATCTGGAGAAGGCATTTGACAAGTTACAGAAGCGACTAGAGGAGAGGCAGAACTGGCTTCAGAAAAAGTTTCACTAAGACTATGCCCTAACTGGAGGCTCGCAGGCCACCATGGTGTGAAACTTCCCTGAGACAAAGTGCTCGATGGAAATGTGCATAATTGACAGCTCGCAAAGGCCTTGGGGATCATGTACCTTGTGCATGTCAGATAAGAGAGAGGCCTGAAGACTTACCAACATTGTTCCCTAGGCTTCCTCCAAGCAAGTATGCTGCAATTCACCCCAGAACAGGCGTCTTGGCACAGTTCATTCTCGGCTTCGGCAAGTGTCCTAGCATGTCCTAGCTGTACACGTAGTTTCACTGCTGGGAAAACGCGAAGATGCTGGTTCTTGTGGC